CATATTTATTCCATAAGGTCATGTGATTAATATGAATGCGTGAGAAGAAAATAAATGGCTAACTCTGTACGCAAGTGAGGAATATAAAACCGAAGTTACTACAGCTGTGTCGGATTATGCGAGCCTCCCAACTTTCTGCGGTGCTCAGACGTAATGGTCCACCGTCGTTGACGAAGTGTCAGGCTCCGAAGTATTCCTTGCGACCACGACAGCATGATACTATAATAATATCAGATGTCAAGAACAAAGGAGGCCAATCGGCAGGCGATGGATGATTGTGGGCTCCGGTAACGGCCGCTGGTATGATGCAATGTGAATGTTGACAATGGGATTGATTCTAGCCATGGCCACGTGGCGCCATCTCACTCCGTGTCGCTTAGGTTCGCTTCCCGGCGAAACCACTGCGTGCCAACATTGAGGTGAATGACACGTTACCAAAGCTGAAGTGGATAAAGTCACTTGAAAAGTGGGAAAGTTCTATACCCATTCACGCGCTCGTAAGTCCATCAGAGTAGCCTCCATAGCCTGCTGAGCGCTTCTTTTTATATCTTCCTTCCCTTGTGTATTTATCACCCATCTAAGGAACTAACCTGCAAAGTTCAAAGTCCTTCTGTTCCATCGGAGCCCAGTGGCCTGTTGCATATCGAATTCGATCTTCAATATTTTCTCCTATGTTTACAGGTTTACTCATCTCGTCTAATTCTCCTTAATCTCTTCTCTTTCCCCTATCTGTCGATTTACCGTGTATATTTATGCCATATTCCATGCTTACATGAACTTGTATCAATATCTCGTGTTCGTGTTGGCCATATGCTTGACATCGCACATATTGGCATACGTTTATTCTCTCATAATTTGTAGTGTAATCGCCAAGGGCAAAAGATTTACATACGGGCAGGTTGCAAACCCCTGCCTTCTTGGAGCGACAAGTCTCTAGAGGGTGCAGGACTGAAACACCGCTTTCTGCCGTGGTCCAGGTCTCTCTCGCCTACGCGTCCTACGCCGCGTCCGCGTGGACATTAGCTTCGAAAAGCGTCCAGAAGTTCTCAAATTCCCATACTTTCCCACTGAAGGTAGGTATAGGTCTATCCGTGTTTGTGCTATCCCCGAATGCGGCGCATTAGTATTTCTTGTCCGTCCCTCGTTTGCGTCCAAGGCGCTTATTTTTTGCTTCGAGTTCTACAGCGGCTTTTCGCGCGTTATCGATGGCTGCCTCTGCTTTTTCAATATAAACATCTGCCTGCTGCTGATGCTCGGGCGTGAGACTATCCTCCAATGAGTCAATGGTAGTCGTAAAATCAAACAAGGCCTCCGATACAAGTTGGGAAGTTGAATGAAATTGCAGATCAATTCTTTAGTTCGTAAATTATTAGCTGACACCTGATGCGGACCTTCCATAGACTGTTTGTATTCTATATAGGTGTCCAGCAGGGAGCTCACATTGTTACAATAACGTGTTAAAAGACCTTTTCTCGAGCTCAACTCTTTGGGCCATCCATATTGAATGAGGAATGAGGGCGCAAAGAAATGAGAAATGAAAGTGAGAAAGAAGGAAAAAAGAAATCTTTATTATCAAAATGCACTCTATATATTTCATTAGAACAGGTCCGAAGAGCGAAAGGTATGACGAACGAATCAAGCAAATGTAAAGTAATGGATATGTTCCGTGCTCGAAATCGGCGCAATATCCAAAAGCGAATACATAGTAAGGCGAATAATGAAAAGCGTACCGGTGTCCATTTGATTGGGGTCCAAACCCGTTAATATCGGGCAGATGCACCATAATATGAGACTCGGTTGCCACGCGGAGAAATACGAATACCACCAGTAGCAGAAATTTATTTCACTTCAAACTTGGGTAATTAAACATAGTGACATATACCTGACCAAACAAAGGCTATAGCCATAATGAAGTGAAACACTGGGTCAGAAGAGAGCTGGGAAGAAGATGAGCAAGTTCAAGGGGTGCATAGGAAATGATGGACGCGTAGAGACTCGGTGCAGCCTCTCGCAGGCAGGGTGCTGAGGGATCATGGT